AGGAGGGGGAGGAGGAGGAGAGGAGGGGGAGTAGGGGGAGAGGAGGAAGAAGAGGAGGGGGGAGGAGGAGGGGGGAAAGAAGGGGGGAGAGGAGGAGGAGGAGGGGGAGAGGAGGAGGAGGGGGGAGAGGAGGGGAAGGAGGGGGAGAGGAGGAGGGGGAGAGGAGGGAGGAGTGGAGGAGGGAGGAGAGGAGGAGGCAGGAGAAGAGGAGGGAGGAGAGGAGGAAGAGGAGGAAGGGGAGAGGAGGGGGGAGGAGAGGAGGAGGGAGAGGAGGGAGGAGTAGAGCAGGGAGGAGAGGAGGAGGGGGAGGTAGAGGAGGAAGGGGAGATGAGGAGGAGAGGAGGAGGGGAAGAGGAGGAGGGAGGAGAAGAAGAGGGGGAAGAAGAGGTGGAGGGGAAGGGGATGGGAGAGGATGGAAGAGGATGGAAGAAGCCCAGACACAGGCAGAAAAGGGCGATTCAGCAGCAGAGATGACTGGGACAGGCAGTGCAAACTGCAGCAGCAATCCCAAGCACCCTCCCTGGGCCCTCTATGCTGCCCTGTCTGCCCAGGCCCTCCCAGCACCACAGCAGACACCTCTCAGTCTCGCCGCTGTCCTCCGTGCTCTCTGGAGGCACCAGGGGCTCCAGGCTTGTAGGGCCCTGTTGGGGTGTATCCCCTGGCTCCTGCGGGGTATCTACACCTATGGATAGAGGGGTGTGGGTGAGGGGAAGAGAGCTGGTTGGAAGGCCTCTGATCTGGAGTTCTACCCTGTATCTGTCTCAGTCTCCCTGACCTGTGCACAGAGGGAGGGCTGGAAGACACTCAGTGCCTGGCAGTTAACCACCGACTCATTCAGTATTCAGTGTCAGGGGACAGAAACATGTTCAGACCTCAGAACACTGGATGGGAGAGCACCAGAAGAAGGGGGTGTTGTCACAGAACTAACAGAGTCCTCCCGCCTGAGGCAGGAGGGGACTGGAGGCTGACAGTCCTCTGTCCCCATAGCCTTAAGGGAAACAGACAGACCCACTGAGAGGTGAGTGAGTCCAGAAAGGGATGTGGCTTCCAGAGCACAGCACAAGTAAGCTGAAGGAGGGACCTGAACCCAGCTTACACAAGCTTCCGGGATCTAAGGGCTAAGAGAAGAGACCTGTAGCTCTTAGGAGAATGACATAGTCAACTCATGGGGCTTTGGGTTCACTATTCAAGATGACATAAGAACGTCATGTGGACATTCCTCACTGAGATTCCAGGAAGTGAGTCCCAGGGACTGTTGGAAACAGTTGGATTATAGGTCAGGAGGGATAAGCTCATCAGTATGGCCTAGAGTGCAGCAGTGGGGGTTACAGAGGTAGCTTGGTGGGCAGAGAGCTCACCTACCAAGTGTGAAGAGGAGAGTTCCAACCCCCAGGGCTAAAACCAAAGCCCCAGATAAGAACAACACAAGAAACCTAGTTCAGGGATGAGGAGACATGACACCAACACAGAGGTCAGAGCCCAAAGGGTAAACTGAAGCAGGAGGCAATTACTACTCCTGACCAAGAGCTAGAAAAGATGCTGGGAACAAAGGAGAGATCTCAATGGGACAGGCACTTTCATCTGAGTATGGGCTGAGGGGCTTGTGGTGTTCCTGTCCCAATTTAGAAATGCTTACCTGGTTCCCGGGAGTCAAGGCTGTCTGTAGACAGAGGGTGCAGGGAGACTCCTGGGTTGTCCTGCCCGGGAGTCCCAACAGTCCTGTCCCGAGAAGACATACCCAGGCCTCCCTTGCGATCTGCAGGGCCTGGCTTCTCTGCTGGAAAGACAAAGAAGAGCGGGGGAAAAAGGGAAATAAAACAGGCTTCTAGTCTCACCTGCTACTGCACCCAGGGAACTACGACCCTGTGCTCTTAGCTTTCTTCCACAGCAGGCCCCTCCTCCAGTGCTCAGTTTTCTACATACTGTTCACGTCTCCCTCAGACCCAGGGGCCCGGACTCCTAACCCTCCTCCCTCAGACTCCAGCCCTCCTCCCTCAGACTCCAGCCCTCCTCCCTAGTCCTGGATGGATACCCTAGCTACAGGTTCATTACCATCAGCCTCGACCTTCAGATGTCGACAATCCGGAGCTGAAACAAAAGAGTGGGACAGTGATCTTGGGTGGCTGGGATCCACAGGGTGGGCAAGGCTGAGGCTAGCCCTCTTACCAGATGGCTCTCCCCGGTTCCAACGGGCAGGATCTAGGATACTGCTCAGCCCTTTCTTTGTCTTGGGGGGCTCGTCTGACCGCCGATTCCCCATCACCTGTGGGAAGATGTCGGAAAGGAAGGCTATCGTTTCCAAAATGACATAAAGTGGAAAGTGACTGCAGGCACCCAGGCTCTCGGCCTCCCAGGTGACTCTTAGAGAGGACAGGGCCAGACTTGACCTCAGCACCTTTTTCCGGAAGAAGTTCCTCCCTGACTTCTTGTCCCCACTCTTGGTCCGGACCCCAAGGTGGCGCATATACAGGCTGATGGCGGTGACCACAGCAGCACTGAGGGAGGGGACAGTGAAGTGAGGGCCCACCTAGGGCAGATACAGTCCCCCCCCAACCCCTCAACCACTTCCTGTGGTTAGAGAAAAGGGTGGCTCCCAAGTCAGGAGCGAGGTGCCGCTCTGAGGAGGCCACGCCCTCCTCTGGCCCAGACCACGCCTTTCCCTCGCAGCCCTCCCACGGTCATCACCTTTTCTCTTCATCTGTAGAGATGGTATGTCTGAAAGAAAGAAATTCACAGTGAAACCACAAAAGCTGGCTTCCCTGTCCACTGAGGCTCTCTTCCGGGCTGAGATCTCTCAGTAAGCAAGGTAAGCAGGAGGAAAAGAGGCCTCAGAAGGTCCACTCCTGAGAGGACACAAGTGCTAGATCCAAACACATGACCACGGACAAGACCCAGAAACTTCAATGGGACCCCAAAGTTATTAGAGATAGGCGGAGTTAAACTCATGACGGGTTAAGAACACAAACAGTAAGACTGACACCGAGGGGGACCCACAACTGGAGCCTGATTCCCATAACCCACTCACTGGATTTCCTCTAGGTGGGAGAGCAGCCGCTCTGCAACATGCCGCTCCCGGGCCTCATAGTTGCTTCGGTCTTTCCCAATCCAGGGCTCTAGCAGACTCAGCTCCTGCTCCCAGGGCGTCATGCCCATGAGCCGCTTGGAGCGGAAGTCCTCGAGCTGACGGCTCACGGCTGCCTGCTGGCTCTGTACCACCTCTTGTATGAACCGCCTCTGGACATCCTCAGAGATGAGGTCGGGCCGCGTACGATCTACAGACGCGCATGCAGAGGCTGGGCGCCACATCCCAGGGGGCCTGGCTCCCAACCTACTCGTCACTGTCCCCACCCATGAATTCCAGCATTTTCCTGGGCTGCCACCACCAAGAATGAATGACCGAATCATGGCTTTTGTCCCAAGAGGCTTGTCCCTCCCTTATCCCCAGACTCCTCTTCTTCTTACCAAGTTCAAAAGCCACATTGGGAGGGACCGGCACCCGAAGAACCTGCTCGGGGGAGACAGGAGTGAGGTGGCAGGAGATGTACCTCCAGAGGCTTTGGTGGGAAGGGTCTGAGGGAGGACACTGGGGAGGACAGCTGGAAGGTGTCTCACCGCAGTCTTCTCCAGGAAACTGTGATAGAAGTCGAGGAAGGCCTTCTTGGCTTCTTTGGGGCCCAGTGAGCTTAGCATGTCTGCATGCAGGCAGCAGAGCTGGGGACACACAGAGCGGGACTCTTTCTCCCGGCCCCAACCGCCACACTCCCTCTTTGGATAGCCTCAGCGGCTCTGTGACCACTGTGTGACTGTGGGGTTCAGACATGACTTCCTCTGTGAAGCATACTCTGACCTCTAGCCCAGCGGTCCAGGCTGCTCTCCCAAGACTCCCCAGGGTCACTGCTAAGACACTTTCTTATCCCTTTACAAGTTTACTACTAGCTATCTCTACTAGCTATTCTGAGGATTCCGGGTACACCAGAGGCAATTTAGGAACCTGTTCTATCACTGAGACCACCATTACCACCATTTTGTAGGTGTGAACCATGAACCCAGGCGGTGCGTGACTACAATGCCATCACTTTCCAGGTAGAAGCAGGATCAGGAGTTCAAGGTCAGCCTTGAATACTTGTGAGTGTGAGGCCAAGCTAGGCTATATGAGACCCTGACTGCTTCTAAAAAGAAGGGCATAGAATTGGGAGTTCAAAGCTAGCTGAGTGCCTTAGCACCGGCCTGCAGTCCCGGCCCTGGGGACTTCAGGCAGGAAGACCAGGAAGGAGTTCAAAGTCCTTGTCTCAAAAAACAAAACACCATCAAAAGGAAAGACAGAAGACCGTTTAAGCTGCACGGTCAAAGGATCGCAGGTTCAAGGGCAGCCCTGGGCAACTTAGAGAGCTTATCTCAAAATACAAGGTAAAGCCAGCACTGCCGGTACCTCCCAATGCTCGGAAGGGGAAGCAGGAGGGCCACTGTGAGTTCATGGCTCCATATAAGACCATCTTTGGAGAGGCCAGAGAATGGTTACGAGGGTAATTCAGAAGGAAAGCAGAGGCATCTCCAGCTCTGATGGAAAAACCAGGCCCAGCAGCCTGTGCCTATGGACCTTGGGGGCGGGTTCCTGGAGCTTGCTCCCAGCAGACTTGCCAATCAGATGAGCTCCCTGATCATGAGACCCTGTCTCAAAAATAAGGTGGGACCAGAGAGACGGCTTAGCTCTGCCTACTACCAGGCCTGACAACTGGCATTCAATCCCTGGGAAGTACATGATGGAAAGAGAGAACTGACTCCTAGGGGGTGTCCTGACCTTCACACATATGCTACGGCATGCATGTATGCACACACAGGCATCCACACACGTGTCCGTACACAAAATAAATTAAAAATTTAGTAAGAACAATTTTAAAAAGAGCTGGGGTGTAGTGGTGCATGATTTTAATTCTAACATTTGGGAGTCAGAAGCAGGTAGATCACTATAATCTCAAAGCTAGACTGGTCTACACAGTGAGTTCCAGGACAGCCAGTGAGTACTACATAATAGAGACCCTATCTCCAAGAAATTAATTAATTAATTAATTAAAAAAGGGAAAAGAAAATAAGTCAGAAAGAGATCAAAGCATGCCGGGCAGTGGTGGCGCACGCCTTTAATCCCAGCACTTGGGAGGCAGAGGCAGGTGGATTTCTGAGTTCGAGGCTAGCCTGGTCTACAGAGTGAGTTCCAAGACAGCCCAGGCTATACAGAGAAACCCTGTCTCAAAAAACCAAAAAAAAAAAAAAAAAAAAATGAGGGAGAGAGAGAGAGAGAGAGAGATTAGAGCAGACACCCAATGTTGTCCACTGGCTTAAACACACGATGCATATGTACACATACATTCACATACCCAAATGAACACACATATACCACATAATACACACACAAGAAAAATAACGAGAGTTTGGGAGGTACCTCGGTGCTGGAGTGTTGCCTAGCACGGCTAAGGCCCTGAGTTCAATCCTCAGTACCAACAACGAATAAACATGCCCGCTCAGTGTCACATGGTAAAGCCAGGCTCAAGCGTAGGCAGCTGTCTCTGGCTATCTACAAACACCACGAACAACCTGCCTAGGCTGCAGGGCAGTGAGGGACAGTAGACGGGCAGGCAAGTGGGGCTTGCTCACTCTTGCCAGGCGTCTCCTAAGGTTGCCTGTGTGCCAGCCTTTGGTGGGTGATGCTGGGGACACTGACGGGCTCCCACAGCTGCCGCCTGGTAAGGGACACGTCCTCACTCGTGCTTGAGGATACTCCTGTGCAGGCAGACCTTTTCTTTTTCTTTTGGTCTTTGGTTTTTTGAGACAGGGTTTTTCAGTGTAGCAGTGGTTGTCTGGAACTCACTCTGTAGACCAGGCTGGCCTCTGCCTTCCGAGTGCTGGGACTAACTGCTCCACCACTGACTGGTGGCAGAACATTTTATATTTACTGGTTTCAGCATATCCATGTATGTCAGTTCTTCTCATCCTCTGCCTCAGTCTCTAGCTTTCTACCTTATTTTCTTTCTCCTTTTTAAATTTTATTCTTAATTTTATTGATTGACTGACTGATTGATTGGAAACAGGATCTCTCTATTATGTAGCACTCACTGACTGTCTTAGAACTTACTGTGTAGACCAGGCTAGCTTCCCATTCCCCATTCCCACAATATGGCGGATGAGGACGCTGCATCAAGGGCAACTCCCACGATGCCAGAAGCCATCTGGGTCAAACAGAGTGCATCCAATAGTGCTTAAGTAAGGGCTAGGATGGGAAACTTCTGAGCTCCAACGCTTAGGCAAGGACAGCATCTCTGTACCTGGGGAGAGACAGCTTCTTTTCCCAAGAATACAGAGGGAGAGATAGTATCCATTTCTCAATTTTCCACCAGTTCCTAAAGTTTTATGTCAGGACAACTAGTCTCAGCCTTCCAGTTCATGCTTTTTTCTTGAGGTAAGGTCTCATGTAGCCCAGGCTGGCCTCAAACTTGCTAAGTAGCTGAGGCTCCTCCTCTGCTACTGGGATCACACGCCTAAAGAACTACGCTCCTGGACTTGCTGGGCGCTGGGATCACAGGCCTGGAGCACTATGCTCCTGGACTTGCTGAGTGCTGGGATCACATGCCTGGAGCACTACGCTCCTGGACTTGCTGGGCGCTGGGATCACACACCTGGAGCACTATGCTCCTGGACTTGCTAGGCATATCTTCTACTGACTGAGTTCTGGCCCCAGCCCTCCTGTGCCCATCTTTCTTCACCCCTGGGTGTCCCTGCCCGTGATTTCGTTTATTCTCCCAGTTTTCTGGGTCAGGGGGATCCTCTGTGTATTTTCAAGCAGTGCAGGACCCTTGGATATCCCGGGCTGAGTAGTTTGTGCTGGGTGGTATCGAGTCTCCTTAGGAAGAGGCCTGACCCCCTATGCTCTGACCTAATAACCCCCCCACCCCCACCTACCCACCCTCCCCAGCCAGTGCTATGGCTTCTTGTTAAATCAGGGACTGGGGTTTCTACCCTATTGGGGTTTTTACTCTATAGGTGCTTCTGGACCACACAGTTCTATATCTGTGTCTCCCAGATGTCTCCTGCCTGGCCCTGAAAGTTTCTTTTGTTTGAGGTCAAGTCTTGCCATGTAGCCTTAGCTGACTATGAAGATGTAGCTATCCTCCTGCCTCAGGCTCTAATTTGCTAGGATCACAGGTGTATATGATCGTGCCAGGCTCAGGAAGTTTCTAGGTTAGCAACCACAAGGGGTTTGTCTTGGTTATTTGGATCAAGGTCTGAGAGTTCTCTAAGTCTGAGCTGGCTAAGGGGACCAAGTTCTGGACTGGTGACACCTGCTGAGAAGGCCTTGCTGCCACCTCCCAACCCTCCCCACCACCAAGGACAGCTAGGTGAGGGACAGTGTTACCAGTTGGAGATGCTGGAAAAGGGCAGGACATGGCAGCTGTCGGCATGCTGGGTTCTGTTTTATGTATACCTTGTCTGGGGTCCTATTCCTAAAACTCATGCTGTGTTCTGGATTTTCCAGACCTCTTAGTTGCCCAGCCTCATTCCTCCTCTGCCCCTCCTGTGTATCCTCACCAGTGGTCCTGGCTCGAACTGCAGGGCCACGTGCTGCAGGAGGGCCATGAGGTGGGCTGGGCGTCGCTTCACTTGCTCCAGGCTCTGGAACTGGCTGTTTTGATCTTCTGAGTTCTGGAGGGCGGGAGACAAGGGAGCTGAGTGCCATGGGGAAAGATGGGACATCCTGGGCTTGCCCTAGCCAGTCGCTTGCACCTCTCCATGGTTTCATGACAGGGAAACAGGAGTGGATGTGCCTGTGCTACAACCCAGACAGTAAGGGCAAGTAGTTGGGAAGAAGGGATCAGACTTGATGTTACTGAGAAGGGATGTTGAGTCAAACGGGGGAGGGGCAGTGATAAGCTGGGGTTAGAAGGAGACAGGTGGGAGACTATGGTGGACAGTGACACTCGGTATGGGGTGGGAGATGACAATGTGAGCAGAGAGAACACATCCCAGGAGGGAGAACTGGGCCCCGGAGAACACTTTCCCACCCCACCCTGCTCACCGCCTCCAGCTCATTCTCAAAATCCTCGTCCTCCGCCCCAATGATGATGGACACCAGGCCAGACCGCGGAGGCCCTGGGGCCTGCAAGGGGAGATATGACTTCAATCCACAGGGCTCCCTACCTCACAGAGCACCAGAGCTCCCTCACCTTGGCTCAGATCTTCTCCCAGCAGCGTACTCACCGCCCCTCCGGGGACTTCTCCCATCTCCAGGACTCCACCGGGCTGCGGAGAGGAGGAGCAGTTAGGGGCGGGGAGGAAGTGCCCGAGGCTGGGCAGTTACTCACAGATTCCTGGCCCAGGTGCGGAAGGTGAGTAAACACCCCCCAACCCCCAGCCTCTAAGCTCAATGGAGCCTCTGTGTGGCGACAAAGAGCTCTTCACAGCCCAGCTGAGGCCGAGTGACCGAGGGGGGTGGGGGGAGCTGGAGCCCAGGAGCATGGGTCCATGGGTGGGCTGGGTGGCTGTGGGTAAAACCACTAATTTGGGTCACTAAAGAAGGAAGGGCCAGGGGCCCAGAGGGCTGGCTGGTCCTCAAGGGGGGAGGACTTTGGAACAAGCAAAATGAAAAGAATAGTCCTTAAGGAGGAGGTAGGAAGGATACTGGGGTGGGGGGAGGGTGACATGCTCTGATCTGTGGCAGGCCTGGGCCAGGACGTTGCCTCTGAACCCACCAGCCCCGTTTCCTGTGACAGGAAATGTCAATGGTGAACCCCCAACCTCCAGCTCCCTCTATACGAGAAAACAAAACCGAGTCCCTCTCAGCCAGGCACCTTGAGCTCTAGGGCCTGGTGGTTCCCTACAGTTCCCAGCTTTTGCAGCTATGGTCCCAGAGAAAGGACGGATGGGGTGGGGCTCAACAGCCCACTCTCAGGTGTGTGCCATCCACCTTCAAGCTGCAGCGGTTGTGGTCCCTGGAACCTGGGACTCCACCTCTCCTCCCAGACCCATCTCCTTCCAATCCCTTCTGCTGGCCCCTCCTCTGCCTCCCTAACTCTCCTCCCCCATCTCGGGACAGCTGTCCTTCCACAGCTGTGCTGGTTCTGTCCATCTCCTCGATGTGTCTTGTCTCTCCCCATCCCATCTTCCCTCTACTCTCCCCTTTCAGCAGCATCTTCCAGACCCTAACTAGTCTGACTAACGCTGTGTGGATCAGTGTCAGGAGGGAAGGGATGGTGGAAAGAGCGTGGGGTGGACCAGTAGGGGGCGGGTCCCCACACCCCAAAGCTATTTATAACTCTGGCTGCCTGAGACCCGCCCTTCTCCCTCTTCCAGGAGCCTCCTCCCTAGCACTCAATGAGCCGTTGCTAGGAATCTGATTTCTGAACAAAGATGCTTTCTGGAGTGTCCAGAAGTCATGGTTGGGGGTTCCCCTAAGCAGGCACCATTTGTATTCTTTCTCAGAAGCTGTATCTGTCCACCATAAAAGCTCAGGTTAATTTCAAGATATGAACACTGTTGAGTATTTAATAAATAAACTTGCAAATCAATACAGTAAAGTAATAGCGGTTATTATGAGAGAGAAAGATACGTAGTACTTAAGATTTGTTCTGGGTGTATCAACTCGGTTTTTGCTTTTCGTTTCTCTAGTCAGGATCTCACTCTGTAGACTGGCCTCAAGCTTGAAGCCATCCTTGAGTCTTGGCCTCTCAAGTTCTGGTATTACTGGAGGGAAGCACTGTGCCTAGTGCCATCAGCTCCCCCACCACAAGTACTCATGTACACTCACTCATTCCCTGAGAAACATGAGGCCTTCAAAGACCACACGTGCCAGCCAGACCTTCTAGGCTAGAAGCCATGACCACAGACCAGGAACTCCCATGCTCATCTCAGTGAGCAGTAAATATGGGGTCACCTGAGAGACCCCAAAGGAGCCAAAGAGGGCTTGGGGGTATAGCTCAATGACAGAATGCTTGTCTGTCATGTAAGAGGCCTTGAGTTATACTCTGAGCAGTACCAAACAAAGCAATCAGATTAACCAAAAAGAGAAAACATTTCTCTTAGACCCACACCCATCTTCTTTCTTTTTAAGACAGGAGACAGGGTTTAATCTGTGTAGTCCTGGCTATCCTGGAACTATGTAGAGCAGGCCAGCCTTGAACTCAGAGAGAACGGCTTGCCTCCTCCTCCCCAGTGCGGGAATCAAAGGCATGTGCCACCACCGCACACACCATTCAAAATGGCCCCCTTAACTCTCATGCTTAAGTCTTTATTAACTCACCCCCCACCCAAAAAAAGAGAACCCAAGGAAGGTATGAAATTTGAACCAATGCTCACCAGAAGACTCTGGTTCTTACACAGTTAGCATGCATTCTCTCTGTATTCCCTAACACACTAATAAGGAATCATAGCTAACACGTCACGTGTTTTCAGTATGTGCCAGGCATAGCAAAGATGGCACACACATGCTTAGGTTCTACGCAGGGTTCAGGGTCTGTCTATAGATGTTAACAAATTTAATCCTCTTACTGACCCAATGAGGCCAGCATTATCTGGGTTGGATTTAAGGGAGATTTGTTTGTATTATTCTTGTTGCGGTTTTACAGAGGGGGAAATTGAGGCATGGCTTATAAGAGTCAGAGCCAGGATTCAGGTTCAGGCAGTCTGGCTCCACAGTTTAAACATTCAGCACACAACAATGCTTTGAGGTACTCCCCCCCCCCACACACACACGTTGATCTTAGGATACTAAAATGTGCATCTATGCTCTGAGATACATCAGGTCTGACGGTGCCTGGAAAAGTCATGTGGCTGCCGTGACCTCAGCAGTCACCCAGGATGGACCCAGCAGCTCCAGAAACCTGGGCTCAAAGAGGATTTGAAAATTAGTATAGGTAAAGCTGGCAAAAACGAAGCAACTGACAAAGTCCACTACTGTCCGGCAGAGGGAGCATTTTGCACTTGAGGCTCTGGAGGTGGGGCGGATGGGGGAAGTCAGGGCAGGTTTAGGTTTATGCAGTGGAGGGGGTCCTGTATAAGTAAGCACATAAAGACGCCTGCGTCCTACGGGCTCAACGTTCAACAGGCCCTTGGACTGGATTATTCAGGTCTCCAAGAACTTCTAGGAGCCTGGAAAAAAACTACAAGAGGACCCTGGAATGTATGCAACCCCACATTCTATTTGATACATAGTGGGCCTCGAGAATCCAGAGAGATGGTGATTCTAAAGGCAAAACGAAATGGTTTATGGGACCTCCATAGTGGTGGGTTCTGTAGGGGCCTGCCTTGATCTGTGAGAAGCCTATGTTTATGTTAAAAGCCGGGTCTCCGTGAAAGGCTTCCTGAAACCTGGAAGGTATGTAAGATCTTATTGAGCTATGTAACGTGGCGAGTCTTCACGAGCCCTAAATCTTACACGGGACGTGGCTGATCTACACGGGCGCTCAGTAATTCTGCAACTGTGGCAGTGTGGGTGGCAGGGAAGACATGTGGGGTCAGGTTTCACGGCAGCCAAAGGCTGCCTATCTCACCTGTCGGATGGGAAGAGAAGCAAGCAAGCCACTGCAGCCTCAGGAACCGAAGCCTCCGCGCTCGAGCTCCGGGTTCCCCCACCCGCGCCGCAGAGTCGCTCTAGCCGAGCCAGAGGCCGCCTTTGCGTCCAGCTCCACTCCTCCCTCCGGCCGCTCTAGCCCGCCTCCTATCACTCTCCGGCCTCGGCAACTCCACTCCTCCTGCCGGCTGGTCTATCACTACACGGCGCCACGCTGGCCCGATAGGGCCGCTCTGGTCTGCTTCGGAGGACTCTCGTTTCCGTATTTCGACTGCCCCTGTCACTCTCCCGGACCCCGCCCACTTTGCAGGACTGGTGGCTGGTTCCAGCGCCTGGTTAAGGCTCAATCTCGGAGAAACTTCAAGTCGCTCAGGTCCTAAGTACCTATCAGAACCTCGCATGGGCTCGTCCCACCTTGTCTACCTCCCTAACTCAGACCTATTAAATTCCAAATGCTTGTATACCGACTCCCTCTGTCACCACTGTCAACTCCTCCCGCTGTAATTGGAAAGAAAAACAAAACAAAACCAGAAACCCCCACATGGACACAGAAAACCAAACCATAACACAAAACACCCATGCTCTTGAGCATGTATCTCCTCCTGACAGACTAACCTGCAAAAAAGCAAGGACTTCCCTTTAGGCCTCAGTCTTCCCATCTGTTCATTGAGGATATGTTTCCGGTTCTCTCCCCTACAGCCAACTCCCAGAGTATAATTAATAACACACAGGGGTTAAAAAAGAGCTTCCTGAGACGTTTTTGAACGCTCTGTAACTCTCGGCTTCAGAATGGTCTGCAGAGACTCTTGCTTATTCTAACTAGCTCTAAGCAAGCATTCATGATTGCAGGGACAGTGCTTTACAGGAAACAGCTTCGAGTTCAAGTCCCAGCTGCTATGTCCCTACAAGGCAGTCCGACTCCCTGGGCCTCAGTTTCCCTGCTGATAAATGGGTGTTATCGTTCTGCGCTGAAAAACAGTTTTGGGAGCCTGGATCTCTATCTACTGTACACTTGACAAATTCTCATATTTCTCTCTCTCTCTCTCTCTCTCTCTCTCTCTCTCTCTCTCTCTCTCTCTCTCTCTCTCTCTCTCTCTCTCTCTCTCTCTCTGTTTTGCTTTTCCTTCTGAGGCAGGGTCACGCTAGGTCGCCCAAGCTGACCTCGAACTCATGGCAATCCTCCTGTCTCTGCTTCCCAACTTCTGGGATGGCGCCGGGTTTTCTCTTTGCTCTCTTTGACAGATGAGAAAACCGAGGCCAGAGAAAGGCGACCGCAGGCGCTCCCGGGGAGGCCCTCAGCGCCCGGTCCCCTCCCTGCTCCTCCCCCGGCGGCGGAGGGGGAGGAGGCCGGGCGGGGCCAGGGACAGTGTACCTGGTGTCCGCGCGGGGAGGTGACCGGCGGGGCGCCCGAGGTCAGGCTCGGCGATCCCGGGCCCGGTGTCCCGACTCCGGCTTCCTGGCTCCGGCGGGCAGGAAGTCGGGGCGTTTTTCCGGAGCCCCCGCCCGCCGCCCCTCCCCGCTTCCTGCCCGCGCCCCATGCCCGCCCGGCACCTCGGCTTCCTTCCCTTTCTCGCCGCCCGCGCGGCTCCTCCTTTCCCCGCGGGCGCGGCCCCACCCGGCCCCGCCCGGCTCCCCTTCGCCTTTGTCCGCCTCTGCCGGCCTCTCTGCTGCTGCCCAGCTCCTGCCCTGACCCTTCCTCTCGTTTTCTCTTAGTTTGTAGCCCAGGCTAGCCTCGAACTCGCGGTGTAGAGCGAGCTGGCCTCGAACTCACAGAGATGTGTCTGCCTCTGCCTCGGGAGTACAGAGACTAAAGTTAAAGGTGTGCACCACCACCCTGCTCTCTTTTTCAAAGCTCGCCCGCCAGCGAGTCCCGATTGTGTCTACAATGGCAGGCCCATCCAGCACTCTTCGCTCTCTGACCTCTGCAGCGTCACCCTTCTGCAGCTCCTCTGTGCCTCGATCGCTTTGGGTCCTTTTCTTGCTGCTGGCTCTGCCTCTGCTGGCCTCCTCTGAGATTTCAGTCTTTGTCCTTTCCCCAATTGTTGTTATCCCCCGGGCTCAGGCCAGCCAGTTTGTGTCTGTTTCTTCTTTTGACTTCTATCTCTGCATCCTTGTCTCTGGGGATTCCCCTGAGTCTCCTCCTTGCCTCCCTGTCCTTTAACAACCTTTCTGAGTCCGCTCTTCTCATCCCAATAGAGAGCTGTCTGTCACCCCCAGGTTCTTGACAGAAACTCACTAAATCTGCCTATGCAAGTGAACCCATGAGGGAATTAGGTCCCACTCCAAGGAAATAATACCGTGTGTTCTCAGAGCGTAAATATGGGTAAAAATTTGGTAACACCCGGGGCTGGTTCCCCCTTTGCTTAGGGATATGCGGAGAGTGAGGCCCTATAAAGGAGATAAACCAGTATTGGGGTAGGGACTTCCCCAAGAGACTTCCTGTTATTTTGGGGTGGGGATGGAGGGTTGTGGAGGACAAACAGCAAGGACTGTCTGGTCCCAGATCTCAGAAGTGGGCAGGTGAGAACTTGGGTCCAGAATCCCAGGTCTGATGGAGGAGGGGACTTGGGTTTTCTGTTCCTGGTTCCTGGCAGTGTTGAACAGCAGTCTACATGAGATCCATGACTCCTGCCAAGGGCTGCTTTGGGAAGGATTTATTATCACTTAAGTGGCCATGACAGATCTGGGAGGAGGGGGGTGACACTAACGAGGCTGCTGTAATCAGCTCCCCTAGAGGCAGCGATTAAGGGCTCATTACCCACTAGCGAGGGAACCCTACGTGGGGAAGGACAAGATTAGGTGGGAGAATAGGGCGGGGTAGCCTGGAGGCAAGGATGGGACACTTCAGAGGGACAAGCACTGGGAAGGGGGGACCCTAGGGAAAGATCAGAGAGCAGGGATGCTGAGTTGGGCATATGGCAGGTAGGGGACAGCACAGCAGGACTGGGAGGGGAAGGGTGGGGGGTGTCAGTCATGGCTTCTCCAGCTGGACATCTCCAATGTGGAGGCTGCCCACGTCCTGGTAGGTGCCCTGGAGTCCCCTGGAGATGTCCTCATACATAGAGCAGTCATCAAGGTTCAGGCCCTGCAGGGGACAGAGAGAGGAGACGTCAGTACCATGACAGCTGTGGCCCCTGCCCCCAGTCCACCCCAGGGCAGGACCCAAGGCAGACACCAACCCCATGCACCTGAAGTCGGATGCATTCAATGCTTACCTCATACAGATTTTCGTCTTCGTAGTCATCTGGCATGTCCACTCCAAACTTTTCATTTTGCCACCGCTTCTACAGAAGGGGAGGAGGTAGAAAGGGCGTTTAGCAAGGAGGGAGCGGAAGGGTTTATAGACCCTCTCCAACTAGCAAGTGCTTTATCAGACAAAGCAAGGGACGCCTCCCCCCTGCCACATATTGGGAGATTCTGTTCTCTACCCCTGACTCCTCTCCTCCTCCTCCTCTCCCTCCTCCTCCTCTTCCTCCTCCTCCTTCTTCTTCTTTTTTAAAGATGTATTTATTTTATGTATATAAGTATAATTACAGCTGTCTTCAGACATACCAGAAGAGGGCATCAGATCCCATTACAGATGGTTGTGAGCCACCATGTGGTTGCTGGGAATTGAACTCAGGACCTCTGGAAGAGCAGTCAGTGCTCTCAACTGCTGAGCCATCTCCCCAGCCCCCTCTCTTTCTTCTTATGGGCCTCAAACTTTGAGCAATCTTCCTGCCTCACCTTCAAGTGGACTTGCCATTACACTCCACCGACACTCAGGATTTCTCTCTAGCAAGAACTACCTGGGAACTCAGTGTGGACCAGGCTGGCTTTGAACTCCAGAGAGATCTGCCTGCCTCTGCCTCTCGCGTTCTGCTAGGATCAGAGCTGGGCACTGCCACCATGCTGACTCTCTACTATTCAATGGCAGGTAGAACAGCGAGGAGGGAGGAGTGTTGAACATCTGTAATTCCAGTGCAATTCCTCCTCCTGAGGCAGGAGGATTGTGAATTCCAGACCAATATGATCTATATAGTGAGTTCCAGCCCAGCCTGGACTACTTAGCAAGATGCTGTCTTACCTTCCCCTCAGAAAAACAAAAAAAGACAAAACAACAAACAAAAACAAAACAAACAAAAAGCAAGACAAAAACCAAAATAAAACAAAACTGGTGGTGACACACGCCTATAATTTCAGTGCTTGAAAGATAAAGACAAATCAGGCCAGCCATGGAGATATAACAAGTTTGAGGCTAGCCTAGACTAAAATCTACCAAAAAAAAAAAAAAAAAAGTGAAAGCAAAGAAAGTCCAGGAGATAGCTCAAGCTGGTAAAGTACATGAATTTGGTCTGGGGCAATCCCACAGTGGAAGGAAAGAGTCAACTCTGGAAATTGTTCTCTGACCTTCTCACTCACTGATAAGGTATAAAGACAGCACAAGGTACTGTTGGCACACACCTTTGATCCCAGCACTTGGGAGGCAGAGGCAGGTGGATCTCTGTGAGTTTGAGGCTAGCCTGGTCTACAGAGTGAGTTCTAGGACAGCCAGCTCTACACAGAGAGACCCAGTCTTAGGGAGAAAAAAAGAAAAAGAAAGGCAGAAGGCAGGCATGGTGGCATACACCTTTAATCCCAGCTAAGGAGAAGCAGGGCCTCTGAGAGGACACACCTTCTTTCCTTGTCTTGGCTGCATTTGCAGGGGACTCCCTTTGGTGGGCCAGGAGGACAATGAGAGGGTATCTATGAGGGCCAGTGGGGACTTGCTGACCCTCCTCGAGCTCAGTGTCACTGGAAATCCTTTTGGTGGTTATTCCCAGCCTCCCAAACTTTGAAGGAAGAACCTCGGAAGTCAGAGGACCAGTTGGACACTGGAAGTCACAGTCCAGGTCCACGTAAGCCAAGATGACTTGAGGATGTCACTCTGGGAAGACTCACCCTGAATAGCAGCAGTGTCCCTGGCACCACTGCACAGAACAGCAAGATGATCCCTTCTGCCGTGATGATGCGGTTCTTGGTGCCTTCCCCCATGTCCAGGAAGGGCCTAGGGACTGGCTCTGTGAAGACAGGGTGCTGTTCAGAGTTCTGGTATCCCTTCCCCTCCCAGCTGTGTCCTTTGTCAAGTCGGGGAGCACTTGCGTTACTGGTTACAGGTCCAGGAGGGAGGACCAAGCTCTGCTCCCAGTGTTCTGGATGAAATGGGGAACAGAGAACCCAAGGGTCAGCGCCACCCCCTACTCACTGCGCACTCGGAGGTAAGTACCGCAGGAACGTTTCGATATGTCGTTTTCTGTCACTTGGCACCAGTACAAGCCCCTGTGGCTCTTGTTTACTTCAGAGAAGATCAACTCTCCTGTGCGACCCAGGCCAGGACCCAGTGACACTGGGGGCCATGTGTTGTTGGACTGAAGGCTGAACCACCATGTGATATTAGGGTTCTTGCCATTGTTTTCACAGATGAGGCGGGCCTCCTCGCCAAAGTTCACCGTCAGGGATGGTGGACCACTTTCTACCTGCAGGGCCTGGTATCCAGTACCTGTGGAGAGATGAGAGGAGACAAATGAGCCTAGAGATGGAGATGATTCCCCAGCCCAGACCCCTTTCCACCAGAACCCTCAGGAGTGGAGCTGTACTGATTGCTAATGGTACCTAGAAAAAGAGTTGATGCCAGGAGACACACCCTATGGCCTCTTTCTTCCATTTCCCCTTTGCATTTTAATGCTCTCCACCCCCCCCCAAACCAGTCCAGAGACTCTCTCATGATGACCTTCCCATTGGTCCCCATTCTTCACAACTCTTAGGGGTGTGAAGGTGGGGCACACCTTAGGCCCAGAGTGGGCGGGTCTCAGCAGTACCCAGCCTATTGGAAAAGGTACTAGAGCCCAGTTCCTACCTCCCTGAATCTGGCCTTGGCTTTTTTTGTTTTTTTTTTTGTGCCTAGGCTGTTTTTCATATCTGTAATTTAAGTGTGGCAACCTGAGTAGTGGCACACGCCTTTAATCCCAGCACTCAGGAGAGAGAGTCAGGCAGATCTCTGTGAGTTTGAGGCCTGCCTGGTCTAACCAGGGCAGCCAGGGTGGCACAGAGAAACACTGTCTGGAAAACCAAAACAACAAAATAAAGAAACCAGTGTTTCTGGCACTGGGACTGAGTTCTGTCTGGGGCATCAGAGGAGGCTCAGAGAAAGGAGGGTAGACTGGTGGCTATGGTGTCTGCTCTTGTGTTTATCTCGAACCACTCCCCCCTCCCACCTCTGTTCTCAGCCTCCCCCAGCACCGCACTGGCTTGTTGCTCCTTTTGTGGACATAACAGGAAAGAGGAAGGTTGGAAGTGAGGAAGAAAGAAAGGGAGGGGAAAGAGGCCCTAGCAAGTTCCTGGTCACGGGCTTAAGACTCAAACAGCAGGATTATAACCCCTGGTCCTAAGACCTTCCCCTCTGAAAACCTAGGTTAGTGTGGACACATTTGGGTGGGGGAGGGGGATGGAACACCGGAGGAAGTGTGAACCCCAGATGTAGGCAGAGGGAAAAACAAGCACCATTTTCCTCACTGACACCCTTTGGTACCTTGGTGTCCTGATGTTCAATCAACACTTACCTCAGTTCCTCATTCTGACTTGTGGAGCTGAGGTCGTGTGTTGTGGGGCAAGGTCGTTTGGGTCCTAACAGTGGTCTTACTCAAGCCTCTTCCAGCCTGTAGCTTGGTACAGAAGGTTTTCCCTGATCCCTTCCCCCTACTCCTTTTCTTTTTGGGACAGGTAATCAGTAATTTGCCCAGGTTGGCCTAGATAGAACTCATTATGTAGCCCAGGCTGGCCTGCCTCCAACGCAGTATTCCTCCCTCCTCAGTTTCCTAGAGTTCTGGCGTTAAGAGATGCGTTGCTATGCATTATCCTGTCTGGCCATCTCTGGCTCCACTCTGCACCTCTCCTGTCAGCACCCTCCCCGACCCCTCCCTGCACCTTCCCTTTGGCCACATTACCCAGGCAGGCTTCGGAGAAGAGGAGGAGGAGGAGAGGCAGGGCTCGGAGGACTTCTAGACCCCCTGGCATCGTCTCCCAGTGAGTCGGTGAGTCTGGGTGACCCTAGCCTTGAGGTACCAGATTCCACTCCAAACTCCGCCTCACTTCCTGTTCGGCCCTGCCGGAGATGGGCTCCAGTGGCCCTTACTCCTGGCTCTTTATTTGCCATATGGTGTCAGCCCTGAGAGAGGAACTGCCCTGCACCTGGGCTGGCCACAATTCCCTCGAGTCTCTAGTGCGTGGGGTCGGGGAGAGGTTGGTTCAAGGCCTGGTTCATCACCCATGAACCCGGGAAAGGATCCTGGCGAGCCAAGGATTTGGGTGCCCGAGACAACTTTGGCTCGGGCTCTCACTCATGTCGGGCAAAACTCATCATCCCATCCGCCATTTTCTCTCTAGCCCCATCCCTTTTCTCTTTTTTTCTTCATTTTTTTTTTTTTGGAACAGGGTTTCATATAGCCTGGGTTGGCCTTTGAGGTCACTATGCAGGGGAAGAGGGTCCTTTGCTTATTGTCACCTTTATTATTTTTACTTGAAGCTTTATTTAATGTATATGAGTGTTTGCTTACATGTATGCATGTGTACCGTATGCGTGTGTGCCTGGTACTTGCGGAGGCCAGAAGAGGGCTACAGATCCCGAGGAAATAGCGTTATAAGTTGTCATGTGGGTGCTGGGAATTAAACCCTGGTTCTCTGCAAGAGCAGCCGGTGCCCCTAACTACTGAGCCAATCCCCCAGCCTCTGAAAATGTTCTTGAAGTCCTGGTCCTCTTGTCTCTGCCTTCTTCTGTGTATTGTGATTACAGATGTACTCCACCATGCCGAGCAAACTTTCTCTTTCAGTGTAAGAGATGACACACCCACCGGGCAGTGGTGGCGGATGCCTTTAATCCCAGCACTTGGGAGGCAGAGGCAGGTGGATTTCTGAGTTCGAGCCCAGCCTGGTCTACAGAGTGAGTTCCAGGACAGCCAGGGCGACACAGAGAAACCCTGTCTCGAAAAACCAAAAAAAAAAAAAAAAAAAGAGAGAGAGCGATGACACCCGGGGTCTCATGCGTTCTAGGTGACTGCTCTGCTGCTCAACGAGATACTCTCACCTTGAAGTTCTTTTATATCCTCTCAATAGGGCAGAGACCACCCTCCACTTGATAGAGAGGAAACTGAGGTGCAGTGAGGGGGAGTAGTCACTTGCCCAGTGCTGTACGTCTATGAGGCTGACATGTGGTGGCTCATGCCTCTGATTCTAGATTTTGGAAGGCTCAGAATAATGAATCAAGAGGCTAGCCTGGGCTACATAAGAAACTGGCAGATTATGGAGCAAGGGGAAGGGACGACAGTGAGGTCACAGGCCAGCCAGTTTGGCCAGTGTATTAAGCTCTGGGTTCAGTGAGGAGAACCTCATTTTTTGTTTTCTTTTAGAGGTGAGGAATTAGCTGGGGCAGTGGTGGTACATGACTTTAATCCCAGCACTCCAGAGGCAGACACAGGCGGATCTGAGTTCAAGGACAGCCTGGTCTTCAGAGCGATTTCCAAGACAACCAGGGCTACACAAGGAAAACCCTGTCTCAAAAAAATGCAGGCATACATTTTTTGCAACCTACTTTTAATAAGGGTTCAACCTCTCCCCTTGCCCACTACCCTGCAGAGGTAGTGAAAGAGAAAAGTTATTAGGATATGGGGGACCTGCTCAGGATTAGTTCTTTGGGGCCGAGCTCGATCTTCTTTGGCAGCAGTTCAGTCCCGTAGCAAACACAAATACGACTCAGCAGCTGCAGACAGTCCTCTAGGCAGGCAGGCAGCAGACACGAACCAGCAGTCACAGTCCAGTCCTTTCAGCAAGCAGACACCAGGCAGCCATAGCTGAATCCTGAAGAAACTGCCAGGCTCATCAACAGGCCTAAGACAAGGCAGTGGAAACAGCAAGCTGCTGCAGGACCTCACGAGCAGTTCTTGGGCAAGTTTCTCTTAATGGCAGAGTTACCACAAGTTGAGCTCAACAACACTGTGTTAGGTGAACTAATACAGGTGTGTAGTTAGCGAAGAATAACGAGGCAGAGCAAACCAAGGCTCAGTGCTCGTCTCCCACTGTCTCTGGGTCATATTTATACCCCTTCATCACGGGTCCTTCCACATGTTTGTTATAGCCAAATGTCCTTTCACCTGTGTCTGCTTCAGGAAACCAGTCTTTCCCTTGTTTGCTTTAGCAAGACATCCTTTCACCTGTGTGCCCCAACAAAACGCCATCTGACATAACTGACTTTCCGAAGAACCAGTTTAGACTTCACAAAAAGAAAAAAGGGGGACGGGGGGTGGGTGGGGATGGGGGGGACGAGGAATTGGATGGCTCAGTGGTTAAGACCACTTGTTTTTCTTGATGAGGAACTAGGTTTAAGTCTTATCATTCACATGGTGGTTCACAAACATGCATATAAACACTAAATAAATCTTAAAAAAAAATTACAAGCATTGTAAACATTTCTTTAAAGCCAGATAGTGTTGGCGCACACCTTTTATCCCAGCACCAGCACTCAGAGGCAGAGGCAGGCGGATCTCTGTGAGTTCAAGGCCAGACTGATGGTCTACAGAGGGAGTTCCTGGACAGCCAAGGCTACACAGAAAAATCCTGTCATGAAAAACAAAACAAGAACATGAAAGGAGCGGGGTCAGGGGGTGGGAGTGAGGAGAACGAGAAAGACATTTGAGGTTTGCCTTCAGCCTGTACAAGTTCTGTATACCGGTGAGAGCAAGCACACAGGTACGTACACACACAAGTAAATAAAAAGAAAACATCAGATGGATATGGTGGCCTACTCCTGTCATCCCCAGATGACCCTTGTTTGATCATCAGCACCTGTATAGCAGCTCCCAGCTAACTCCAGGTCCAGTGGTTCTGACACCCTTTTCTTGCCTCTTTGGCACCAGGCATGCGCACGGTGCACAGATGATGCAGTTGAATCATTTTTCTCTTTTTCGTTTTTTTTGAGACAGGGTTTCTCTGTGTAGCCCTGGCTGTCCTGGAACTCACTGTGTAGACCAGGCTAGCCTCGAACTCACAGTGATCTGCCTGCCTCTCCCTCCCAAGTGCTAGGATTAAAGGTCTGTGTGCCACTATGCCTGGCAGTTGACTTGTTTTCCAAAGGCAAAATGTTACTGTATGCTGCTTGGGGACAAAGGCCTGTGGTAGAGATGAATGTGCACAGCACATCATGCTTACCTCCTGGGCAAGAGGACTGGGTGGGGCTGGGGAAGGACACAGCTGGATTCAGCCACCTTAAAAAAAAAAAAAAAAAGGCTGGGTAGTGTTGATGTGGGCTTTTAAATTCAGCAGAGGCAGGCAGGATTTGAGGCCAGCCTGGTCTACAGAGTGAATTCCAGGACAGCCATGGCTACACAGAGAAACTGTCTCAAAACAAAACAAACAAAAAGTTTCATTTTATGTGCCTGGGTGTTTTACCTGCACGTATGGCGTCAGATCCACCTGGACTTAGAGACATCATACAGATGAAGGGTACCAGGGACCTCTGGAAGAGCAGCAGGTGGGTTTTTATGTTTTGGGTTTTTGAGACATTGTTTCCCTGTGTAGCCCTGGCTGTCCTGGAACTCACTTGGAAGACTAGGCTGGCCTAAAATTCAGAGGTCGGCCTGTGTCGGCCTCCAAGTGCTGGGATTAAAGGCATGTGTCACCATGGTCCCTTGTGGCAGGTCCATCTCCCCAGGCCCTTATTTTGACTTTGTAGTGGTTGTGTGTGTCTTTACTCCTTTTTATGTTTGGTTCTGTGCTGAGGATGGAACTCTGGACTCCTGTACCAGACAAGAGGTCTGCTACTGAGTTACAATAGATTTTTGTTTTTTTGCATAACACCCCCCCCCCCTTTTGACACAGAGCTCTGGCTAGATCTCCCTATGTAGACCAGACTGGCCTTGAACTTTCGATTCTCCTCTTTGCTTCCCAATATTGTAGGTGTATTCTGCCATCCCGGACTCCCCTGTATTATTCCTTTTAAGCTGGGCGTTTTAAAAATTTACTACTTAATCGTGGATACGTGTGTGGCTCTGCACGTGGGTATGTGCACCTGAGTGAAGTGTTCGAGGCCAGAGGCATTGCATTCCCTAGATCTGGAGTTACAGCGGAGTCACATGAATACTGTGAGCGAACGCAGCTCTCCTGGAAGAACAAGTATTCTTAAACCCTGGAGCCATCTTCCCAGGCATGGGCGGAGGGCTTTTGCAAGGCTGCTGTAAGTACTGTTTTGCATGCCTGGAATATTTCATTAATTTAAAAATAGGGCAAGCAGCTAGACTTAGTGGTGGCTGATTGTAATTCCAACACTCTGAAAGTGGAGGCACGGGGTCCAGGAGTTCAAGATCATTCTAGGATACACAGTAAGTTAAGAAACATTACAACTATTCCATGGCTTCAAGATTGGGAGATCTTTCTTGCACCTCAGTTCAGCTGACTGGTCCTATGAACTTATTTAGGCACGAACCCCCTTTTATGAGCTTGTTGTTAGTATCACTAAATGCAGTTGGCAGTTTTGAAGAGATCAGTGCCACTTCTGCCCCAGTGTTGAGTAGGTGCCTGTTCATACAGGACAGCTGATCTTGAGCCCAGCAATTCCTCAGAAACAGAAAAGCTGGAATTATCTTGTCCAGCAGTAGCTAGCAGCTGCCCCCCAGTGGCTGAACAGCAAAGCAGCAGCTAGGCCTTCTTGGCCAGGCATATCCACTGTCATGGGCTCAGCTGAACCAAACGCACCCATGCCCACAGAATAGGATCAGACTGGGCCAGCCTGGGCTTCTTTTGCGAGGTTAAGGTGCCTGAGGCTGACTGCACCAACAGTGGCCATGTGATTCTCACAGCTCTAGAGCATTCAGCAAACCACCAGGTGCCTTTTCAAATGCTTCAGAGGATTGCTGGGCAAGGAAAACATCTGCAAACTGCTTGGAAAGCACTTCAGTAGGAGAGGCAGCAATACCCTTGTAGAGTCACCAGCCACTTCCGTTAAGGACTAACAAGGGTTCTTCTGGGAGCCAGTTTTAACCAGCATCAACCTGTTACCAATGGGGAAACAAGGAGTAGACAGG